TACTCTACTGCAGTATGAGCAGCCTCTTAACCAGTACAGCGGATATGGCTCACAATGTGGCAATGATACGGTATTATAGTACGTCAGAGTGAGATACCATAACGAGAGAGCTTGGAAGCTCAGGGCCCTACGCTATGCTTTGTTACTTAGCTCATCGTGCATGTTGTGGGAACTGATGGAAATGTTTCCTGGGAAGGCGCTGACTCTGCCGAGCACGCGCGTTCTGGAGTCGACGGGATCACTCTGCCGACGTTTCCTGTGACCGGCGCTGACTCGTCCGTTCACGCCTATTCTGGAGACAACGGGATCTCTCTTCCAAAGTATGTTTTTGCTGACGCATCCTATCACCTATTCGGCAACTAACATCCATTCTAATTTCATTTCCTCCTCGTCTCCCTATTTCTTTCCAGAAAGTCTCTCTATACATCAGGGAGTCGTACTGTATTGGCAGCTACCCTAACGGGTCACGCCGCCCACCACCCAAGCATGGGTATGATGAGGGACAGTGGCAACAGAAACAAAAAAAACAGCAAGCAGGGAGAGAAAGCAAGAGAAAGACGGCGATAGTAGTACATCTGGTGTGCGACGTATAGAAAAGAGAGATGACAAGAGATGCGCTCAAAATAGGAAACAATAATTATTTTTGCAGTTCCGAAACAATCAACCAGGTGATGGAGTGTGGGCACCCGAAGTCCCACCTGGATTCCACTGGAAGAACATCCCACGCAGGGATATCAGCGATAGGCCAAGCATTGAAAAACAGCCATGAGGAGACATCGTCTAGAAGTCCACCGCGCTCGAACTGAAATTGCAGGTTCAAACAATTTCCCACGCGGCGTCAGGCAGCGTAACTCTTCTCCCTGCATCACCATCCATCTCCAGCAACCGTCTCCACTCACAGCTCATGCCTCTGCCACCACTGTACTCCTCCGAGCTTCGCAGTTTGAAACCATTCGGGGGTCAGCTACACCACCGCGAATGGAGAGACGAGGACGACAACGGTCGTGACTGAAAAGACACTGCCTTGGCGACCGCGTCGCGGAACCCTCGGCCCAGCAAATTCAGAAATACGCCAGGGGCAACTCTGGTGGACCCAGAGCCACCCCCTTGGCAAGACTTGTAAGAGGAACGACTGAAACTCAGATAAAACAGAGCTACAAAAAGTGCAACCGTCCCCTTCAAGCACAGTCGCAACACACAGGGAGTCGTATACATGTACATAATATTGTGGCCAGCTGTTTGTAGCCAGCTGTGTTTGATGGTACGGTACGGTACGGGACAGCTACGGGAGCAGGCAAATGGCCAGCTGTGCGATACGGTACGGGACAGATACGGGATAGCGCCAGGCGTGACACAAACAAACAAACAAACACCAAATTAAAGCTGTGTGGACCCTGGCTAGCGCCAGACGTTACTGAAGTAACGTCTTCTGCATAGCTACGGGAATAACATGTATTGAGCACCAGCCGTGAACATACTAGGGGACACAGTAAGCTACAGACAAACTAAGTTATAAACTATACCGTTCACAACTGTTACAAGCAACTCAGGAAAATATGTAAAAATTATGTCTTCATTGCTCGCAGTCACATCCAGGAGAAAACAACATACTGAACATTCCTGCAATGAATCTCACTTGTACTCATGAAAGGACTGTAACCTAATGTAAGGCATCTAAGTTCTAACATCCCAGGCCGTCATGGGTATCATGGATGCATACTGGGAATCATTACCAAAAAACGATGCTCAGACAGGCGCTGAATCAGGTAAGTCCCCAGATTGTACGCTGGTGGTTGTGGCATGCACTGCGGAACTCCATTCAGATTGTCCAAGGATTCACGAAATGCACCACGCCCGGTGAACTGGCACAGCCACTGACTTGATCAGTTCGAGACTCAGAGAGAAAACACTTGCTTCGATCACACTAACGAGTTGATTGCACAGCATGCAGTGCTCCTGCAAAACGGAATGGTCAAATTTTCCTCGAACGAGCCTTGCGTCAGGACTGTACTGATTATTTTCAACAACAGGATGAAAGTGAAAAACGGCAACAGTGTTTTTACGTAGGCCCAGTCGCTAAATCTCTTGAAACGCCTCGCCCCGAAAAGCCGCCTGCCAGAGTGTTTTTGGGACGTCTTCCATTTCGAACTTTGGATACGGTGGCATGATTCTAAAGATTAGACTAGTCCAGAGCAAACCAACTAACTAACTTGAAAGCTGCCAAACACACCCCTCATGCGCACGTGGAGATAATATGCAAACCTGACACGGAGGACGGTAATGAGTATACTCACGCAGAATGCTCCTATCAAGAACGCTGCGTTGGCCTTGCCACACTGGTCGCGTCCGTTCGTCCAGAACACTATGGTCTTATTTTCCAGATTCGGATTCTGCAGAGAAGCAAATAGCGACGCACACAGGGCAAGTGGAGAACGGCAACTGAGCTCTGCAGCACGAGCACGAACAAGGGATCGAGCGAACGGCCCGGGACGCACTCTCTCCATCTGCTCGACATAATCAGCTCGAAGTCGCCAGCTAGGCCTGGCAAAACGACAGGTAGCACAGAGCTAGTATAGTGCGTGTCCAACCACTCTCTACTCCTCCTAGCCTACCTGTCAGTTGTGTGCCAGAGCAGTGCAAGCGCCGCACGCAAGTATCACAGAGTACGAGAACCACTCACACCAACGCCAACGACACAAGTGATTGGTGATGCAACGAGCACAAAATACCCCTTACCGCCAGCTTCAGGGAAAGCTTTCTCCAAAACTTGTACAGAACTGCCTCGTTCATCGGACCAAAGTCCTGCGCAAAGCTGTGCGGGGTTAGGAAAAAACAGACAGCAGAAAAGGTACCGCAGAAAAATGTCAACCGATATCACCTGGGCTGTAGTGGTTCGCTAACTTGTGTCGTTGTGACAGAACAGTGTACAACCCACCCGTTGAGCTGCAACGTCAGAACAAGCAGCGAAAGGCAACGCACAAACAAGGTCAAGGGTACACTATGAACTAATTTTGTTGGGGACAGGGGATTTGCTGTAACTGGGCGGACAAGGTCCCGGCTTACCTTTGATACCTATATTCACCGTCAACGGTGAAATAGTGACAACTCCTGGACGCTAGGCGCGGGACGCGACTCGAAGGAGAGACGCAGAAGACGAGCCGGTCTGAGAGCATGCAGAACAAGCACAGGGAAGACACAGAGCATGGTAGGACTAGGACTCAGAGAAACACACCAGGAGCATTTCGATAGATCGGGAGAGGCGTCTTCGACTCCACATTCGTCCACAGCACGACTTCACTAACCCGGTTTGAAAATGGAGCAGGACGACCCCGCCATTCTGCTGGCCGACAAATGGAGGTCAATATGGCTGATGTTGCTGTATCTTCCCGGGTGAGAACGACCGAAAGCAATACTAACTAAATGGCCGAGCTACAGTCACTTTTCCAAAGGTTACACAACTGTCATTACAAATACAAGAACTAAGTACTTGCACAACAAAAGCAGGGGGCAACGAACTAGATAGAGCGTACTCGACTACAGAGTACAGTCAGTATGGTGCTGCTGCTAGGGCTGCACGCACTACAGCCTGTACTGTGCAGGACTTGTTCCACGCAGACGACTGGGGCCAGTTGGGCCGGCCAGTTCGAGATGAACATCATTCTGTTTTTGAATCTGGTCAGCGCTAGTATCAGCTGGCACCTTTGACGTGATGCACTGCTCTCAGCTGATTCACCATGATAACCGTCACGACCGTTGTTCAGATCAACCCATTATTATAATACTGGGCCTACTGACAAGTGACAGTAGTGTACTCTGTAGATCTACGCCGAGATCCCTATCGTGCGTGCGTGTGTGTGGCACTGTAGTCTGGAGTGTAGACTCTACAATCATCATGATTGTACTCTCACCGATCTACACTACGCTAGTCACTACAGTACAGATTCAGTACATACATGGTCTACACTACAGACTGTAGTGTAGACCATGTACTGAGTCTGTAGCAGGGAGTCGTATTATTACAGACTCCCTGGTCTGTAGTGTAGTGTAGTGACGTACTAGTGTACATCATCGGTGAGAGTACAATCATGTAGAGTACAGACAGACTCAGTGACAGTGTCACACACACGCATCATGATTGTATTGTCTACACGCAAAACCACTACCACAAAGAAGTGCAGTTGAAGTGGCACATACACATACACGCATGATGTAGTGACGTAGACCACACAGGCTACATGACTGCTGTAGCTAGATCTAATGTACATACAGTTCCAGAACCCCTAAAAAATAATAATAATAAAAAACTGTACATACAGTGCTGGCAACTAAAATCCGACCCCCTGAGAGGTGCGCTCACATCGCAAAGAATGTGAACCCACCGCTCAGGGGTCGGATTTCAGTTGCCAGCGCTGCACTTACAAAAGACATGCGTAGACCTACAGCAACGCTGAACGCTGCCAACACCACTGAACACTGCAAGAGACAGTGCAGACACGACGGATGCGGGTCAGTCCCATACACTATGCCTACTGTAAAAGCCATTATTCTAACGAGGCGCATATACATGTATAACGATTTCCCAAAATTGACTAACGTTAGTTTACATGTACCAAAGGTAACGATTTTCACTCATTCTCAGCGATCAATAGGGCAGTATAATTATGTATCGATTTCTGTATAACGATTTCTATTTTAACGACAAATTTCTCCTCGTTACGTTAGCTCGTTAGAGTTAGCACTTCGTTATTATGGCTTTTACAGTATGCCTATGGACCATGCATAGCCTAGACTCGCAGCCTAGACAGTAGACTAGCTAGTAGTACTACTACTAGAGATCGAGAGTAGGCCTAGGCATGTACTAGTAGTAGTACCAAGAGTACTCTTGGTACTACTACTTACTAGCACATTGTAGTATGGCCGGTACTGCAATAGTGGCAGTAGGGGCCCTGGCTGCTGGGTGCAGTGCACTCAGGCTGCGAAGGCGGGTGGGCTGGGGCTATTTTTGTACATGCGTAGGCCCGGCCCGGGCCCGCCTCGCCTAGCACTTATTTTATTACTATAATTATTACAGACTCAGTACTTTTTTTTGGCCTAGGCTGGAGGCGATGGCGCAGCATGCTCGCAGACAGGGCTATAGGGTGACAGTTTGTAGATGTCCCCATGGTTACTAACTTTAGGCCATCGCGCGCCTTCCTTTCATTCGATGCATGCTGCGTGCTCTGATCTGATCTGGCGCTCGTTCTCGCTTTTTTGCGTGGGTCGTGTTGGTTGGCATCGTGCTGCTGCTAATGTCGTGTAATGAGCCGTCTCTTTCAGTGTGGGAAGCCCACATCTCGGGAGGCTAGAGACAACAAAGATATCGTTTGTTGCTTATACATTGTACATGTACACGTGTTCATGTTTGTTTTTGGTTCGTCTATGTTTTGTTTGCTTGCCCCATCAGGAACGGCCCATGCTGCGCTGGGAGATCAGTCATGCTGAGTGTAAAAAATCGACTAGCGACTGAGTACCGTATTTTCCGGAGTATAGTGCGCACTTTAGATGTGCTATTTTAGGACCTAAATCGCAGGTGCGCACTATGCTCCAAATATGAAATGCATGTGCTTCAATGCAGATTGAAGTGCGCACCCCCAATGAAGATTGGGGGTGCGCGTTATACAAAGGTGCGCACTATACTCCGAAAAATACGGTAGTACTAGTACTAGTAGTAATACAGTCGTCCCTCTCTAATCCGGCACTTGTTTATCCAGCACCCTTGCAAACCAGCACACTTTCTGGCAAAACGGATTTTTTTCAGTTCATTTTCTACGCTTTAATCCGGCACTTGAATTCCGCCTCCAGCAGCGATTTTCTGCAACAAATCACTCAAACTTTACACAATTCGATTTTCTAATCCAGCAGTTGTACAT